GCCGCCCCCCTGAACGTTGGTCCCGTGTTGGACGGCCTCCCGGCCGCCCCCCTGAACGTTGGTCCCGTGTTGGACGGCCTCCCGGCCGCCCCCCTGACCATTGGTCTCGTGTTGGACGGCCTCCCGGCCGCCCCCCTGAACATTGGTCCCGTGTTGGACGGCCTCCCGGCCGCCTCCCTGAACGTTGGTCCCGTGATGGACGGCCTCCCGTCCGCCCCCCGGAACGTTGGTCCCGTGATGAACGGCCTCCCGGCTGCCCCCCTGAACATTGGTCCCGTGTTGGACGGCCTCCCGGCACCCCCCTGAACGTTGGTCCCGTGTTGGCCGGCCTCCCGGCCGCCCCCCTGAACGTGGGTCCCGTGATGGACGGCCTCCCGGCCACCCCCCTGAACAATGACTCTAGGGACGGTCTCTTGACCGATCAGATCTTTTGTGTTTTCCTGCTTGTGTTTTGCCTTAGTTTTTGTCAGGTCTTTGTTTTCTTCCTTGTGTTTCCTCGGGCCCTCCACCCTTGCAGTGCCGCCCTCCACCCGCCCAAGTCCTTCGGGAGGGGTTTTTTTGGGGGACGCCTGGGGGCGTCCTTGGGGGGGGTACTGTAAGGATGGTACCATTTGGTGGCTCGGTTTGTGTCTGTGTTTCCCTAGTGTTTTCTCTTTAGTTTAATTGGTGCCACCCTTGTCTCGTCACAGCTGTTTGTAATTACGTCTCATCTTGTCCCTGTATATAAACCGTCTGTTCTGTCTTGTTCCTTGTCGGGTCGTATTTGTTGGGTCCCTGTGTTCTCCTGCGTCTCCTGAGTCTTCCCTGAGCTTCCTGAGTCCTTCCTGAGTTTCCCTCTGAGCCTTCTGTTTTCATGTAAGTTTTGCTGCCACGTCAGCTGTTTATTTTATTCTTTATTCATCATTAAAATATTTATTTTTGTAATCTGCCGAGTTGAGTCCTGTCTGCACAATTGGGTTCGTCCCTGACCACCAAATCCTGACAACTGAACTAAAGTGCTGCAACATGGATGGATGGCTGTACACCCCCACCCCACCCACCCCCCACCCCCCCACACACACAGCCCGTTTTTCTCTCTACAGGAGATACCAGAAGGAAATTGATCACCTAAACTGGGTAGATGGGACAACCAGTGAGGTATCCAAGTGTTATGGATGACTGAATGCAAGTAAATATCAACAATCAGGAAAGACAAAATTCATGATTTTTAGTAACGACTATTGATTTTTCTATAATGTAGATAAGCTAAAATTTAGAGGTTGTTTTAGATAATGAATTAGGCTGGAATATTGCATATAATATAAGGAGCAAAAACGTTGCTAAATATTTGACTAAATGTCACAATCCTCACAGTTGGAACCCATTTGCAGGGAGGCGAGCGAGGCAGGAGTTTAAATAAAAATAATTTATTTAAACAACAAAACAAAAGGCTGTCGGTGCAGCAAAACTTACTTTGGCAAAACAGGATCAAAAACAAGGCTGAACAGGACATCAGAGTACACAGGCAGAGCAGATCATCAGGTGGACAAAAACAGACAGGACAGAGGAGGACTGAGATGTCTGTGAATACAGAACAATGACCGGACGAGGAGTGAAGGAGAGAAAGGTTTTTTATAAGACAGAGGGAGAGTGAGTAATGAGAGCACCTGGGCAGGTGGCTGATGAGGGACAGGTGTGAATGATAAAGACTGAGGAGTGGAGAGGCAGACTGAGGAGTGAGTGGAAAACAGGACCAGATACACAGGAACAGAAACCACACAAAGAGCAGAACTACAAGAGCACAAAAAGCAGAGTGGGGAACACAGACACAAACAGAAACAGCAAATGGTACCATCCTTACACTA